GTCTGTTGCGTTTCTTGCATGCTATTTCCCCTGCTGTGGAGAACACACACACAATGGAATAAGACATGGCGAGACAAACCCGAGAGGCAGTTGGTGAGACAAGGAGATTTTAATAAATACCTTATTCTCCAAAAGGAGATCAAAATGGCTCTTCACGGCGAACAATTTGCGTTTGTCCGGAAGCTGCTCCATATTATGCACGTACTGTAGCAACGTCACTCGAGTGAAGCGCGTCTCAGCAGTCGATTGTCCGCTGCTCTCTGCTGTGCGCGCGTGAGCGCGAGCACGTACTCACGGCGCCGACTTAACCCACGCCACATAGAAGCTTTGAACTACGACAACAGCTAAGCTAGCCTAGCCGATGTAATGATGGTCAGCAGACATGGTTTACGTTTTATGTGACTTTTAATAACAACGTGGCAGAGTCAACAAACATCCGGTGTGCTCACTCGCAGTCACTTCCTGGAACTCCCCCTTAGAGGCGGGACCTCTCAATCAACTGGAGTATGACGTCCAGTACAAACGTTCATAAAGCACTTCTGATATAAGGCTGGTGTCGGCTGTCTTATTACATGACAGCCGACACGAAGCTCGAAGTCAGACGGACACGTTTTTCTGATAATCTGTGTGTTTTCCGTTTTGCCCAAATATATACTTTTATTCGAGTGAGGGTGAGGTCTGGCTTGTTTCGGCAGGCGGCATTGTGTCGCCAGACGCACTTCCTTCTAAACACCGTGTGGCGGGCTTTTGCTACGTCGACGCCCCCTGGACTGAGTCAACACAGTCCAGGCTGAGCCGACTCAGTTCACCTGTTCATCACGTGATCTCATGAAGCAGCACACGCACCGACACGTGGATTGCTCTGTGAGCCCGACGCATGCGTCAATGCATCGGTGTCGCTGGACTCATCACTACTTTTTACTTTCCTTTGCTGTTCGATTCCTCTGTGGCTCTGTCCACCAACTTTTTGTTAGTGAGGAATTCCACTTTTTTCTGTTCTTGCGACTAAATTTTGTCAACGTTCTTTTTCGATTACTGCTCTTTGTCTGCCCATAATTGTTGGAATAAAGCCTGTGTCGTTGCTCTCAAGTGATGTGTGGTGGTCAATTCTCTGGCTGTGAGACATAAGAATTACAAATCTTAATCTAACAAGTTGAAGTATTAAGATGAGGCTCTATATTCTAAAAAGGTGTACATCTGGTTTGGATATGAGTTACTGTTTGAAGACGAGTGCAGGGTGGCAGATCTGCAAGGAGGAGGGCTGCTCCACTGTGGAGTAGCAACTAGCCAACTTCAAAAATGACCACCAAACTTTTTTTTTTATTTTAATTTTTTTTATTAAAACTGCATGTTAATTGTGCATGGTGGAAATACATCTGCGCTGTGAGAATTTGGAGACCTCCCTCCATCCCCAAAAGCTTCGCTGCCCAGTGGGATGATTAAAAAAAAAAATAGTAATCTACAGTGATGGCTTGATGCCCACTGCTCACATAATCATGAATGAAATGCAGTATACCCGCAGAGCTCAATCTGTCCATCTGTGCCCTTTTCAAATTCACTCGAATTACATTAGACCAGCGGTGCCAGTATTTATACACGGACTGAGCAGACATAACTTCAGACCTACTTCCTGCCACCAAATTTCCGGGAGCATCGCTTGCAGTGCTGAAACCCCCAGTTTAGCACAAACCGGTCTGGCAAATTGGCAAACGTGTAACAAGGCTTTCAAAAGATGGAAATCAGGATACGCAGGCAATCGCGCTCTGCCGCATATGCCGTCGATGAAAATAGATCCTTATTGCGTTCATTTGTTTTTTTCCGACAGTTTTTGATGATTGTAAATGGTGTGGGGGCGGATCAAGTCTGAAAATATTTTATTCCCCTACTGTCACTGAATTGATGGGGGAAAAGATAAAGGGGAATTGAGGTCAGAGACAGAAATTTGACTACATTTGAGACACAACTTGAGTGAACAAAATGTGAGTTTGTCGTGAACACAAATACTGATCAGACACCTTGGTAATGAAGCTGAGGTGATTTTTCTTCATTTGTTCTCGTGTCTCCGGCAAAGTGGTTAGCATGTCTACCTCACAGTGCTGAAATTCAGGCTTGCTATCTTAATCTTGGCTTTCCTGTATGAAATTTGCATGTTCCTCCTGTGCTTATTAGGCATCCCTTTGGGTATTGCATCTTACTCCCACATTCCAAATCAGGCGTGTGATTCACTAAAGACTGAATGTGAATAGTTGTTTGTACATAGGTGTCCTACGACAAACTGGCAACCAGTCCAGGTAATAAACCGCCTCTTGCCCAAAGTCAACTAGGACAGACTCTAACTTGTCTGTGACCCTAATGAGGTCATAGAAAGTACACGGCTTGATGCCCTCTTGCTTGTGGGGACTGAGATAATGCTCATGACTGAGTCTTACAGGAGCTTCAAATAGATAACCAGATGGTGTGAAAATAGTGGCGGAAGGAAGTTGGTGCCATTCAAACAGGTGCCATTGACAGCATAGTTGAATGAGAGCAGTTGCTCGTGACAGGAAGATTCAGCTAATGTTAGCCTCATGAACATACCTGAGTAGTGTGCTAATGCGCACACACAGTCACGTTTACTGGTACATGTTTGAAAAGGGTGTCGTTCTAATACACAACAAAAAAATGGCTGGTCCTTTGTGACTTAACATCACACACACACACACACACACTGGGAGAATGCAGTCAAAATATGTAAAAAGTGGTCATGTTCAACGGGAAAACGTTCAATCGAAGCTCAGGGAGTCAAAGTGATATGCCAATAACTATGAGAACAACAGTCAGCATATATTCAGAGGGACAAAGCAGAAATTTATACAAGATCAAAAATGAAATCGTCCTTGTTTTGGCAAACAACAGGCTATTAAGTATGAGCGGTGTGTGTCTGTTGCTGAAAAAAGTATGAGTTCAATTTTTTTTACATTCATTTGTTAAACTGACAATTCCACGTTTTATAACCTTGCTTTGCCTCATGATAGACCCTTTTCACCCCATAATTTAACCCTTCCATGCACCCTGTAACCCGATAACATAAGCTGTCCACTGTAGTAACCGCTGTCCCTGAAAGGGTTCATGAGTTTTGTTTCATAATTTTTCCCGGGTATCCCACAAAGCCCGTCGTACTTGTGTCCTTGTAGAACACTGCTTAGTATAAAGCTTGTCAATCTTCGAGTAAATGTAAAAAAACAACAAAACTTCCATCCATCCATTTTTGCGGTACTTGTCCTTGTTTTGTTCATGGGCAGTGGTGTGCAAAGTGGGGTGGGGGGGATCAAGGGGGCAACCCCCACCCCCCTCCCCATTGCTGAAAGATTATGAATGGGCTGCGAAATTACCCCAGTTAGTCAGTACACCAGATGTGTATCACCCCCCACCCAAAAATGTTTCTGTTCACACCCCATTGTGTCACCCGCCCACCAAATCACTGATCACGCCAAAACATTCGAAGGGGCATCCGTGTTGGACAAATGGCCATGAAGCTCATCACAGGTTGGATGTATGTATGACAGTGAATGGAAAAATCGACCATACCCTGTTGTCGACATTTTTTTTCTCAGGCGGTCACCCAGGCATCCACTGTGATTTGCATGCCCCTGGTCACAGGTGGTCTGTCGTTTGTCCTTGTTGATGAGAGGGAGGGGTGCACCATGGATTGGTCACCAGATAGCCACAGGTGGTGCAATCATTTGGCAACACGAGTATTGTTCATGAATGTCTGGTTATTTAGTTTCATGGTCTTTGACAATGATAATACCAAGTCCCATTCAGCACAAAGATTTGAGATCTCACTTTTGCTGCCGGCGGTTTCACCAAGGTTGCGTGTTGAGTATTTTTAATGGGGACAGTACATCAACAGGGAAAAAAAAAATAAGACGTGTTTTTGTGAGCCTCTGCAAAATGCGTTTCAGTCAGTTAAGCCAAAGGGCCAATGAAGATCCCCAGTGAGCTTCAATTTTGACAGTTTACGAACTAAAAAGCCAGCACAAAGCCGGCAGAGAAAAGATGTGCGAGTTTCCTCTAACTCCAGGAATGAACTAACAAGAGAGGAAGACAGCGCTAAGGACCAACGTCGAGTCTACGATGACTTGTTTTTGGAGTGAGCAATTATTGATCAGAGGTTGAATTTTGGTTTTGACTGGAACTAAAACCAAACCTATCGGCATGAAAAATGCTCGATATGCATCGTGCCAGGCGACTTTGAATGCTGTGAATAAAGATGTCAAGCACCCGATTGATACTTCGGTCAGTAGAAAGCTTTTAAAAACCACGCGTCACATTATTACGAAGACAGCGTGTAACCTACAGTGTGTGGTTTTTACCATTAAAGTACGCAAAGGACCGCCGGCATTTTTCCACGCCGCGCACTCATTCTGCTGTGTTTGCTTTCTGCCACCGCATGGACAGCATCACTTGAGAATCAGCAACACTACAACAAACGTACGTTTTTGACGGAATTTTTTTTTTGTTGTTCTCATTTTGCCATCAAACAGTTACACATGCACACACACACCTCTGGGAAAGTCAGACAAAAGAAAAAGTGACCAATAGCCTACGATTCTCTTTGGGAACATTTGGTCTGAACTTTAATCACAGACACAAGAGAATTCACCAGAGAAATGCATAAATACGTTTGCTTGCTGACACAGAAGTGACCTGACATAGGTCAACAATTCCTGTCGGTTTTATTGTCCGTCACCTCTTTACCCTCACTGAAATTGAAATGGCACCAAAGTGCACCACGTTGCGTTGTCGTTACAAAGATTTGGAGGGAAACAGATTGAAGCTTCCGGCAAGCAGATGACTTTTGCGGTTTATGTTTGGGTTGTCACGCTCATGTGCTCTGAGTACATCTATGTGCACGTCAAAGCCATTTTGCATGTTCGCATGCGTCACTGGCTTCGGTTTCGGGGCCCGGAGAGGCCCCTCCTCCTTGGCTGGGCCCCACCCCTTCCTGTGTGTGTATAAAACATTGCATTGTCTCTCTCGTGCACTCACAACCTGACCACTGAAGCAAAAAGCTCTTTGCGACGTCCTCGTCAGCACACATGGCTGCCGGTAAGTATCAGAAAAAGGATTCTTTTGTGTTACTTTCAGGCTTTCTACAGGGCTGCACAACATTATTTCTATTAGTCTTTCTAAATGAAATGGTATGCATTGGTGTTTTAATTTAATTTAATTTTTTTCAAGTGGAACTCAATTTTACAATATACGGCATTTAAAATGAGGCATGCTGGAGCCATGAATCCTCAAACTGGATTAAATTGAACCCTTTGAGGGACAGCGGTTACTACAGTGGACAGCTTATCGTGTTATTTGGTTACAGGTTATCATTAATGGGGCATGAAAGGGTTAAATTCAGTTGAGTTAAAAAAAAAATTTTAAAAAGATTCAATAAGTGTCACTGAATTCTGTGAACTATTGAAACTAGACCCAATATTATCAATCAAAAAGAATCCATCAATGACCGATCAGGGCCATTAAAGCCATGTGATGAATTGATAATTAGTGGCCATTGTTGGACATCACGTCTTGATTTTCCCAGCGTTAATATTTAAAAATGCAGAGTGAGGGTAAAGAGGATGGATAGGTGAGAAGGAGAGGAGTATGAAGACAAGTGGACGTTGGAGGACTTCCACACGTAGCAGCCCAACCATTTGAAGAATAAATGTGCGACAAAGATCGGCTGCAAACAGGATTCATATTAGCATTGAAAGAAGGACTATTTGCACCCCGCCATTGTGCGAAAAAGAAACGAGACGGCTCAATGAGTGGTTTCAAGGAAGCTTTCCCTTTCACTTGTGTGAGGATGTTTTATGTTAAACAAGACGACACGCATCGTCTGGTATCAAATCTTTTCCTATGGGTTGAAGTACTTTGTTCATTTATCCCTGTCATCGGGAATACGATAAATATTGACTAACGCCAAACACGCGTCAACAATACCCGAAATTAAAGGGTATTGGTTGTGTTACTTTGGGATTGTGTTGACAGCGGTTACTACATTCCGTGTGTGTGTGTGTGTGCGTGTGTGTGTGTGTGTGTGTGTGTGTGTGCGCGCACGCGTACAATATCACGACTTCATTGTGTTTGCGCGGCATGAAGGGCTTTTTCCTTTCACTCCACTCTTAATTGTGATTGTTTGTCTGATCCTCTCAGCTGGGGAGCATACATTTGTTTGGAGAGCAGACAGACTGGTGGTTTTGAAGTAATGTCGTCAAACTTTTATTTTTGTTTCCCACCCTCACCTCTTGCCTGTGCAGGCATGAATGTACTTATCTTCGTGGTCGTTTTCCTGGCTGCTGTCTCCAAGGTCTCCCTGAGTCTGCCATCGCAATCGCCTGTAAGTGAAACACACACGCGCGCGCACACACACACACACACACACACACACACACACACACACACACACACACACACACACACACACACACACACACACATTAACCAGCAGTTGTATTATGAGGTGTGTTGCTTTGCTTTGTGAGGCTGCCACATTTTGTCTACAAGGAAACATTTTCTCCACCACAAAGGTAATATGCCAAAAGTTGGTCTACGTACAATAAACACACATATGATATGATGGTTTCAGAGGTCTTTGTCTTCCTTTTGGACCGTATCAGTCAATTTAACTTATGCGGTCCTCACACAGACCAGCATGGGCCAAAGATTTGAACACACTTTGTTCTAAAAGTAAAGCTGCCCCCCCCAAAAAAAAAGAAAAAGTTGCATTTCAATGGCAAGACATACACACACACCCAGACCACATTATTATGAATAGTATTCTTAAGAATACTTGGGAGACGCGGCTCTCTTATCATCTCCAGATGACAGAGAAGAGATCTGATGGCGCGGCCCTTGTGTCGGGCGGACGGTCGTACAACCACACGCGCCAGGCACGCTCTGCTGGAACGCTCCCCTCGGCGCAGCAGTCCAACTACAACCAATCCCCGGAAGACGCCGAGGCTTTGAACACCTTGAGTCAGCTCCTGGTCAGACTCATCTCCAGGAAAGGTGCGTGATGATGCGCTTGGCAAACGGAGAGGATATACCCGCTCCCTCTGCGTCCACTCATGCTGGGCTGCAGTCCTGCCATCTGCCATTTGCTGCTTCGCTCTTGCTTTCTCTGCCTTCGATCCATTATCCCGCTTTTTCTTTCACTCTGTCAAGCTTTTCTTTTCATCCCTTCCTTATTTGCTTACGTTCATCGCCTGACATTTCTCCGAATTTTCAAGACACCATGTTGCTCGGGTAAGTCACCGCTACGGTATAACAGCACATAAATTGCTCGACTGCCTTACAGACATGATTATGACCCATGACGGACAGAGGCCCAAGAAAATTGTAGTACAGTCTTAGGTACATAGTCCGAATACAAAGTACCGTATTGGCCCGAATATAAGACGGCCCTGATTATAAGACGACCCCCTCTTTTTCAAGACTCAAGTTTGAAAAAAGACTTTTTGAACACCACATTAATTTTTATACAGAAAATAATTACAGTACATCTGAAACAAATGATTATAACAATGTATTTGAGAGAAAAAGCATGTTATTTTGCCTCATTCAAATCTAAAGTGCAATCACATTCGTAAATGAATGGCTTCTGGTTTTTGAAATGTAAATTACATCATAACTTCTCCTCAGCTGCCAGTTAACCTGGCCGATCGTCGACCCACTTTTCTCCAGCTTGTCACTACGTTTCTCCATTTTCTTCTCTTTTCCTCCTTACTGCTATTTTTTTTTCTTCTTCGTGCTACCACTATTTTTATTTTTATTCTTCGTGGCAGGGGTTCACTTTGGCCTGGGGAGTCAAATTCAGCATTCGCTTCATTAATATCTGGCGCCATCTAGCGCCGTGAATGGGTATAATGACCCCCACTTTTTCACTCTTATTTCAATGCAAAAAACACCGTCTTATATTCGGGCCAATACGGTATTTGCGATGGCGGCAAAGCACTACTTTCTCTTATTAGACAGGGCTTTGGCCTGACAAAATGATACTCCTCACCTCATTTCAACATAGTTCCTGAGCAACAAGATGGCACAAGAAAGGGCCAAAGCACTACTTTTATATTGCATAGGACTTTAGCCTGCTTCAGCACAAAACAGCAAACATGTCGAGTATTTCAGCAGGATAGGACAGAGGTCGATATTTTTTCGGCAATCCGGCGGGATTCCCATGGCATGAGCGTCAACTTTAACTTTAATCACGGGATTTCGATGGCACAGGATAAAAAACGTACACAGGATCAGACAGGAGTGGGATCTCAGTTTTTTCCGATGCGTTTTCTATTCCATGGTGCACGAAATCAGGAGAGTCCATGAGTAGAAAGGGGGTGACAAACTGTTCAATAAAATGAGTAGAATGCAACTTTATTCCTTCTTATTATTATTTTTAATATAGCCGACCCCCAAAATGGGAACAGTACAGGAGTGGACGTCGTTTTCACCGGGATGCGACAAGATTTATTTCATTTTATTTTTGTTTGCTAAGGTCTGGTTATGGGATGGGATTTTTGGTGTGTGAGTGGGATGGGACAGGAATGAAAATCTATTCCCGTGTCATCCTTTCTACTGTAGGGTAAATGAATTTGTGAGTAGCAAATCATGATGATGAACTCTGTATTTTCAGCTTTCATTGGTGGTGCCGTGATCATCAACAATCAATCGATCATACTCACATTCACAGCTGTGGATACTTTAGAACAGTGATTCCCAAACACTCTACCATGGCACATTAGTGTTACATGAGAAATTGTTGAGTGTGCCGTGAGGACATGATCAAGTTAACACTTCATTGGCCCCAAAATGACACTGTTCAACAAATGTTTACATTTTTTTTAAATTATAATGATGCAAGTAGACTTTTCTACATGAACTTTTTGCACTGATTACAAAACTGACCTAGGTTTTTTTTTTCCTCTGGCACACCGGGTTTTCTTCTTTTTATTATTATTATTATGATTATTATGAATTAAGGGTTAGGTTCAGCAAGGAGCGGAATTTTTCTTTGGTAGAAAGCACAACACATGGTCAAATGTGGACTGCACAAGCTTTTATAGGTCAAATTTTTAAAAAATTAAATACCTCAAAGACCTGATGTAGTAGAAAAGTAGCACATTTTAAAAAATCGTGGTAAAAAACACATTTGGCGACACTTGAAGCCATCTCTGATTAAAATTTGCTGTTGACCAATGCTCTGATTTTTATATACATGAGAGACGATGTTCACTTTCTATACGGGCAACATATCACGACAGGCATGGAAGTCATTAAATGATCTTCCATAGGTGGCAGAAGGTACGATTAACCTGTCTATCCATTGCTTTCCAACAGACTAATAGTTCAACCAAACAAGCACACATTTACGACTCCACTTTTTTTACGTTTGGTAGCATGCCGTGAGATTTTTCTTATGTCAAATGTGCACCTTGGCTCAATCCAGGTTGGAATGCACCATTGTAGAAGACCAGCCAAAGTATTTCAATGAGTCACTTTGTGAAAGTCATGTGACGCTGACGCATGGTTGTCTTGGGTTCTTCTAGGCATGCCCTACCAAAGCAGATCCTCCATTGCCAGTCGAGCCAGCGGTCTAGCGGCTGAGCACAGGATAAAGGACCGAGATTATGAGGGCTGGATGGATTTTGGGAGGCGTAGCGCAGAGGCGATGGAAATCTCCTAGAGGCGCGCCTTCAGTGCAGAGCTGCAGTCGTCACCATTGCCAAAAAGCACCCCCTCGATATGTCCGACTCACAGTGCACAAACGGCCAAATGTGACACAAGTGTACAGTTGTTAAGACCAAAATGATTCACACTCTTGCATCATATGTAAAGTTTTATTTGGTGCTTGGGAGTAAATGACACAAGATGGTGGCAAAAAACACTCAGGAGTTGAGTTACAATCACTAAAGGATACTATTTGCCATTTTCCGTCTTTCATTGCTATGTTTTACTTTCTGAAAATTATTCAGATCCCTGATTTTTTATATTCTTAATTTTGAGGGGAACATCATCTGCTTGTTGTGCTCTCGATAATTTTTGGCATAATCTAGTGCATTCAAATCATCCCAGTGAATTTCAAACAATGGATTTGTCTAACTTGAGAAAAAGTATTAATCATTTTGGAAAATGTAAATAATAATATAACAAGACGATTAATGAAAACAGCATATATATTCATGTATACATAACAGTCTTTTCACATTGGATGACTGTAAACTCCATTTCCCAAATGAAAATTCATTACAAATGTTGCAGGGGTGGAAATAATTTTGGCTTAATTTTATACTGTACGTTTATCACTGGATAAGCCATTTAATGAATAAACACTGGTGCGAATCTTAAATCTGAGATTATAAACACTTTTCAAACTACATAAGAAATGGAAACGACAGCGCTTATTTTTATTTCCTTTTTTTCAATATGCACATATGATGTACTATATTAATATGATAATCTCATTAAAACATTTTATGTCTTAGTGGTCATCATTGCCTCTTGGTCCCAAGTTGCTTCTGGCTGCTCTCAATGTCAAGTGTGACGATTTCTAGCCAGAAAATTTTACAATTTGAGAGAGATGGGCATTCTCTGTCCCTGGGATGGAACAGACCCTCGTCCTTCCCGGGCGGACGCCCATTTTTGGGGGGACGGTGGACGGAGGATGCGAAGTTTTTTTTTTTTTTAAAGGGCTAAGCAAGGACGGAAGTGGGTATTCGTCAATTTCTCATCGTCCCGAACCGGGTTAAGTAACTACGGACACCCATTTCACTCAGGGCTGACAGAAACACGCCTGTTCTACGTGTATAATCCGCCAAAAAGTTTACATATCACCAGTGAGTCTGGTGACCGATGGTGGTTGTGTTGGCAGCTAAGTGCTATCTTGACACTGAAACAGTTGTAAACAATTCAAGTAAGATGGCTGTGCCTGACATTCCTGTCCCACATCGTGTGCGTGTGCGTTTATGTGTTTTACTTTGGTGGGCTGCGTCTGCTTATTCATTCGCATGTGTGGAACGTTTTAGACGCCGACGCGAGGCAGCCATACATTTATTTCAACGTGCTGGTTTCTGAATGATTATTTCCTTGGAGAGGGGAATAGGGAGGTGGAGGTCCAGAGTGATAGCCAGGTGATCGGAGATATTGAGGTTGGTGCTTGAGCAGTGGTTCTTAACCTTGTTAGTGGTACCGAACCCAACCAGTTCATATGCACATTCACCGAACCTTTCATTAATGAAAAATAAAAATATGATTTTTTTACACATTCAAGACAAAAAACATTAAAAACAGAAAAAAGTTATTAAAATGGCATATGTATAGGTTTGTAAAATTGTATGACGTACTACAGTCGCGTGTGGTGAGGTTCACGGTTGGTGAGGCACTGACTCCTTTTGTGTCAGATTTACAAATATATAAACAAAAAAGGGTAGCTTATTCAATTGGCTACTGGTTATTTCACATCCGAAATTTGACCCCGTGGGTTGTCCAGGGTTAAATATTCTATTGTACAGTGAAAAGTCTAATCTCTTTTGTTATAAGATTGCAATGAAAACTGTTTGTGTCTTACCTTTATTTGTAGATGAAGTCCATGCGCCTGTCCTTCGCCACAAAAACCTCCGTTACTTTTTTGTAAAAGTCCTCCTTATTTTCCTTTAGTTTTAAAAGTCTCTCCGCCTCAATGGAGATGATCGCCAGGGAGGAAAGTCGTCCTCCTGCTTCGTTGGAAAAAGGGCAGCAGCAACCACCACACTGGTTTACATAGTGAACGATGTTTATTTCGGTCACAGCTGCGAGTTTCCTGGACTCAACATACTCATAGCTGCTCTGCCATTGGCTTACCGAGCATCATCCTGGCCTCCGATTGGCCAAGAGGGACCTCACTGTCTATGTGCGTAGATACTGAAGCTAGATCTGTAGCATCCGATTAGCTGCTCAGGGTAAATTGCTTATGGCTCGACGGATATTCAAATAAACCGTTTCCTCGAATGCTTTACTTGTTATCATGCTAAAAACACCCACGGGACGCTTCGTAGTCCTCGATGGCCATAGTTAGCTCTCGAAGGCTAAAAACCTTACGCTAACTGGAGCGCTTCTCTCTCATTAGCGCTCCAGTTAGCGTAAGGTT